TACCCCTCGCTCTTACACTCACTTTGAAAGGACGATAAACATCCATAAAAAGAAAATATTGACCACACTACATCTAGAAAGACCGAACACCACACCGACGGTTCCGACCACCACACCGACGTTACTCAAACCGGCGCCAACAAACACAGTATAATATTGGGATCTAGAAACCTACAAGACAACAATAGACATGACATCATTCAATCATTCATTGCATCGTATTATAAGGTTGAGTACACTAGTTACTGAGGCTAAATCGAGTGCAAAACATATCAGGAAAAATACATTATAGTATACCATAACAAACTTTGAAACCCAACAAAGCATTAAGTTACAAATACATGATAGTACATTATTGAATAAACACTTGTTATCTTGAAACCATTTAGGGAACCAAAATTGTACTAAATGAACATTAAAAAGAAATTCATACAAAGTTCTTCCTAGGCACCGGCTGTTAACAAGCGGTTATGCTGTCAAACAGTCGGTTATGCTACAGTCGGTTGATCGTTGTTAACAGCTGGTCAACCTGCTAACCAGCTATTAATAAGCGGTCTAACAGCTGGTCTATCGGCTAAATCAGATGTTAACGGGCCGGCCTATTAACAGCCGGTTCTAAACAAGTCGGACTTGGGCCCATGTTGGTATGTTTTCTAGCCGGCATAGTCATTTGTTTATAATTAAGAAATGATTATTAAAAAATTAAAAAAATCAAGAAGTTGCGGATCAATTTTAGCAGGTGCCTTATACTTGAAACCCACAATATAAATTTCTGTCGATGCTGAATGAATCGCTTGTGGTTCATCCACGCTCTTGGAGTCACTCAATGTTCATAGATTGCTGGTTACATGTGTTATGGTAGCTTCCGAGATTCTCAAAGAGTTGTACAGAACATTCATAGGTGAGAAAAGGGCTTACATTGAACTGAAATTCTTGGCCACGTTCGTTGGAAAGAATATTACCTGTCTAAGATAGAAAAGGACACCAATATAATATTGGGATCTAAAAAACCTACAAGACAACAATAGACATGACATCATTCAATCATTCATTGCATCCACATTATAAGGATTAGTACACTAGTTATTGAGGCTACATCGAGTGCAAAACATATAAGGCAAAATGCATTATAGTATACCATAACAAACTTTAAAACCCAATAAAGCATTGGGTTATTAATACATGATAGTACATTATAACATTAACACTAGTTATAATATGACATATCCATCATTAGTGTCCTTGACATATACACACTTGTCGCACTCGTTGATTCGAAAACCACTAGAAATCATAGCATTATCAAATTTCTCATGTCATTGCTTCGGTGCTTGCTTTAAACCATAAAGCGATTTCCCCAATTT